CAATAATAGGCAATCATCCTTACGCTTATAATCCTTGGTTTGTGTCAATATCGGCGCTTGTCAATAATGGGCAGTCCTCTCGACGCTTATAATCCTTGGTTTGTGTCAATCAATAGCTGTCTTTCTCTGTTCCTTTACGTTACATCTTTCTTGTCTCTCGAGTAACGAAATTTGCCCGTGACGCGTTTTTCAAATCACTCTCCATTGTCGTCCAAATAGCAGAAAGCCGTTTAAGAAGTTTCTTTTCAAAAATTATTGAAATGGAAATAATCTTGATACAATTTTGGAACATAAATGGAAAGTTGTAGGATATCTTAAGTGTGTGCTGGCGCTATTTGACTGTGGGTTTGGGTTGGTGGTCTACAGAGATCAATGGTGGCTCCATCTCTGTCATTCTCAGAAGAATAAAACATAGTTTATACTAAAGCTTATTTTTATTCTCAACAATCATTGCCAATATGGTTAATAGGACTGTGAGTGCGACTACCATCTAAATTGTAGCAATATTCATAATCATAAAAATGAAATACGTCTTTATCGTCACCCTTGAATATTTTTTTTTTCAATAGATATTGAGTATTTAAATAGAAACAGATCCCAAATTTCCGCATACTTTTTTCCTCAACCCATGTTATTTCTGGATGACATGATTTAAAAATTCCACCACATTGATTGCAGATCTTGGCAGATGTTCGGCAACTCCCATGACGTTACAGGTTATCCTGGTACTGGCAGATATGAATAGGCTTTTAGAGGGTTATGATCCTATTAATACTCATATTTAGAGCTTAAAGTTGTTGGAGCGTCCAGCCTGTAAGAGACATTGTTTAGTATATAACACTGCAATTGAAATGATACACACCGCTTTCTTTTTCCTAGAATTCTGTGAACTTTTTGTTTAGGATGACTGAAAACCTAAATGACCAAATTTATTTATGAGCAGGGGGTGGTAGTGGCAGCCGGTATCCACTTCCAGTTTCAACTTGAAAGTGGTTGTCATATTTTAGTCCTCTATGTTATTCCATAGTTACCCTGATTTGTTGAAGGAAAAACTAGTTTTAAAACCCCTTCTTCTCGTTTACGTGTACGCATGTTTGTTGAATTCGGTGGGTCGGTTGCTCAAGAATGTGCGAAGTTAGTTTTCTCATATCCTTGCGCTATTTAACTGTTTGCTCTAAATTATTTTTTCGCATACGCATTTTCTGCTATCCTGGTAAGTGTGTCATAAAATCAATCAGTCCTCCGTCCGTCCTAATACTGAATAGGTATGCCACAGCTAATTTCAAAACGTGCTTCACGCTGATAGGGTCCTGCTTTGATGAAAGCCGCTATGTTTCAATTCGGTTCTTGAAAGATGTTTTGACAAGACTAACGTCTTCCTCCTGCTTCACCAGGTGTTGGCTCGGTGCTAGACACCGAAGATGACCAACCCATTGATTTATCGGTGCCTCCAAGTCGCAATCCTCACACCACCGGCATGTGGCTGATATTGAAGGTCCTGAAAATAATTAAATTAGATTTAAAAAATGCGATTAATGTCAACTTACCAGCAAAAGTCTAGCTTGCTTCATCATGGGGGCGGTGGGATCTCCAGCCTTTCGTTTGGAGGCTCTCTTGGAGCTGGGTGTTTTGATGGTGTTGGATAGCCCCCTCTGCTTTAAAAATCCCACCACACTGGTTACAGATCTTGGAAGATGATTAGCAATCCCATGATGTTTCAGGTTATCTCCTTCCTGGTGAACCATTTTGTACATAAAATTAAAAATTCGCTGTTTATGGAGGTTTGTTTTAAAGTAAATGAAAAAATAAAACCAGTTTAAATTGGTTAAAGAACCTACCTAAATTTTAGAAAAAGAAATTTGAGTTTTGTGCAAATGTAAGTATAAAAGTAAATTCAAGTTGCTGCGTAAAAAACTATTGGAATTACATTAAGAAATAGGTAGGTACTCAGGGTTGTCTGTATTTTTAAAAAACAAACAATATGATTATGTGTTAAGGAAAATAAAAATAATTCAATAATCGAGGTTTGTGTTAATTCAAAATATGTCTCAGGGCATGATTTATCCTACATCACTTAGATATTTAAAAATAGTACTTACAGTTTTTCGAAACCGACACTTATCGCACAAGAAACTAAACTTTGAGAATCCAGGTTCAAAGTACTGGTACTGGATGCTGCGTTTTTTGTACAAAGAAAAAAAATTGAATCCTCATCTTTTACAGGTAACAATGTATCCACTGAAATTTTGTATTGCATAGGGTTATTGGCTCATAAAATGTCAACGATGCTAATTTAAATCTATTCTTTTAAATTTTGATAAATTGATTGAATTTGTCACCTTTTTTAAAATAAAAATGGACATATTGATATCTAACTTAATAATTACGCCTTAAACTAAAAAATTATCTTTAAAATGTGTTGTTGTTTTTCTCGGGCGATTTCTGCGAACGGTCCTGATATAATTCAGATAAAAAAACTGCCGATTAAGCGTTTGCATTTAGCGGTGTTTTTTGTATGTGATACTTCGAAGTTTAAATCGGATTTTATAATAACAAGCTTCTCGCTCAAACTAGTCAACAGTGGAAAATATAAAATTATTGCACAACAATTAATTTGATTTTAACCAAGTAAGTAAATATCTTATATACTAATATCAATCAACAACAAGACCTGTCTTTTCCTAGCAAAGGATTGAAAACACTGAGAAAATTACAAGACCTGAAGCCTCATAGAAAGTGAAATTCTCAATATTTTGACAGCGTTTTTTGTATGTTATGTTGTTAATTCGAAGTTTGAATCGGATTTTATAATAATTAAGCTCTTTCAGTCTTGTTTGAGACTCGTCAACAAGAATAAAATTATTGCACAACAATTATCATTTTAACCAAGTAAGTGAATATCTTATATACTGATATCGATACAATTATGGAATATTTTAGATATGGATTTGAAATCAATCAACAAGACCTGTCTTTTTATAACAAAGGATTAAAAACACTGAGAAAATTATAAGTCCTCGTATAAAGTGAAAGTTCCCAATATTTTCTACGATAGAGACCTCAAAATAATTGCAAATCTTTACTGGAACCAATAAACTATACAAATTAAGGTAGATCATAAAACTATTGTACAGAAATTATTATTTTAACCTAGTAAGTAAATATCTTATATACTTAGGTAATCGATACAATTGTGGCATATTTTTAGCTATGGATTTGAAATACTCGTCGAATTTGACGATAACGCAGTGTTGCCCCAAGACGTACCACCAAAATGATTGGATCATATTAAGCAGTTTATTGATGGAAAATATTCGCTTTTTGAAATCGTTGTCTTAAAAAATGTATGTTTTTAATAAAAAAACGAGGCCCCTTTCCCATCAAACGTTGGTTCCAACCAAGGATAATACACACTACTACTACAGGATAGCCTATCCTCATAAGGCCTGTGTGGAACAAATCCACTCTCTCCCCAACGTTAAATCACCAGTTGTGACGTAAGCAGCATGTTATTTCTCGCCTTGACGTAGGTTGTTTAAACAGCTGATGACTTAGTTATGGCGTCGCAAATGGTAACACACGAGGTCAATGAGCAATACTGTAGGTGTGTATCATCCTTAAGTTCGAACACCCTCTACCAGGTACAACATGAAGCTAGCTGCTGGACCCTCATAGTTACGTCACCACCACAGCATCCTGTTATAAGACACATCAAACTTGACACATGTACTCTAAATGGCGCCACGGACGTGACCCAGGTCGCTATGACGTCATCACAGAACCCGAACCATGAATCGAACTTTGCACTATGTACTCTAAATGGCGCCACGGACCCGCACTGACGTAACCCACGTGACCCAGGTCGCTATGACGTCATCACAGAACCATGAAACGAACTTCGCACTATGTACTCTAAATGGCGCCACGAACGTGACCCAGGTCGCTATGACGTCATCACAGAACCTGAACCCTGAATCAAACTTTGCACTATGTACTCTAAATGACTCCACGGACGTGACCCAGGGCGCTATGACGTCATCACATAACCCGAACCATGAATCAAACTTTGCACTATGTACTCTAAATGACTCCACGGACGTGACCCAGGTCGCTATGACGTCATCACAGAACCCGGAACGACTCAGAACTCCCGCTATGACGTCATGACGTTTGACAGATGACGTTTGACAGATGACGTTTGACAGGTGACGTTTGACAGATGAAGTTTGACAGGTGACGGTTGACAAGATGGCGGGAAAACATTTCCCCCCCCACCCCTTTTTCTGGTACCCATATTAAAATCCGGGGGCCCCTTTTTGGGGGGCGGAGCCCTGCGGGCCCCCTTTTTGGGGGGCGCAGCCCTGCGGGCCCCCAACTACAGCATCCTGTATTACGAACTTCACACTATGTACGCTAGATGGCGCCATGACGTTTGACAAGATGGTGCCGACGATGCATCCACCTTCGTGTCAACGACGGCGCATCCACCACGTGTCAAGAATGAAAGATTGAGGTTATGTTCGGATTTTGGTCCTAGAACCCCCTTTGATTATCTACTGCCATTCTTTTCCCTTTAATATCTCCCTCAATATTTTTTTAAAAAAATCAACCACATAGCCCTTTAAGTATTTTATCGAATTAGCTTCTCAACCATATGAATGATGAATGAAATACTTAAATTCACTTGAATGGGAAAGACCCATTACCTAAGTTGAAACTAGCACTGGATAGGTTGGGAGATGATAGAGTTCAGTTGTCTCAGAAGTAACGTCACACATTTAATGTATAAAATATTTAGTGAAAGTTAAAAAAAAAACATGGTTCCTTTATATTTGTCTTAGTTGATTTACAAAAAATAACTCTATATATCCAACAAAAATTTAATCACAAGTTACATAAATATAAAACTCTTATAAATATAATACAAAGTTATTTGGTGCAATTCCAATGTAGGTAACTCACAATTTTTAATTATTTCTGACTCTCATTAATAAATCTACCTAATAAAATTGTACAAGTGCTATGAAATATGTAGTGGAGGTTGCGATAACAGGTAATAGGGTGGATAGATTGATTTCGAAAAAATCAGCGGCCGTCAATCGTATTCCAGTGCTGGCTATATATAATCCAAACGAATGTAGCTTCTGGTACTCTTTAGATCGGTAGTCAAATTTTTCTTGTAACTCATAACAGGCACTTAAAAGTTTGTTCGTTTCAGCGGTAACCATATCACATGTGAATGCGATTGCACAAGGACCAACCTAAAATAGAGAGATAAAATTAGTTAAAATTAGATAAAATTAGTTAAAATAATAATATGGGTATTGTATTTTTAGAAGGAATCATAATGAAATGAATAATTGATAAAATAGGCATCCACGGCACTCATATTCAATGAATGGGAAATCGATTTTTCTCCATTGTCAAGCATTTCAATTTAGATTGTACCATTTTTGTACTAATAGAGTACTTTTATCGTTTTAAAAAGTTCCTGTGAAGTAACCATTCTTTAACTTACCCTAACCTAGATTTTTATGTCATGGTACGAAACTTGTTAATTCACTAAATTCATAGCGGAATTTTCAAATCAACTAAAGAGGTGCCATGGAAAGGTAAGTCTTGGGAATATCTCTAAAAGACCGTGAAGCAAATGAATAGATCAGAACAAAGAACAAAAATGCAAGACCCAAAGCAGCTCCCATGGAACTGGGCGGAGCATAATAATGACTGAAGAAATTTAGAAAGTTGATGCAGCAAGCTCATTAGATGAAGAGCTTGCAAGACAAGAAAAGTCTGGGACGCCCTCAGATTTGATGTGGGGTGACTCCAAGAGAGTGGCTGGAATCTACCTACATTTACTGCCTGTCTAACATTATTCGGAAATAAAATGGCACAGTGCTTTCTATGAGGTAGGTATATACTTTCACTAAGTTTACGTACTTACCGAAATATATAAGATATTGCTTCCCAATAACATGTACATTTCACCATCAGTTTCAAATTGAAAGGTTAAGCGTTTGTTAATAAGTACCAGATACCAATTAAAGAATAAAAAGACAAGAAACGCTATCCAAAATGTGAATAACACCAGAAGTTGTGAACCAAATAATTCGGAAATCATTTTTATTGCTTTTTGCATTTTGATAAATATAGTTTTACTTTTTCTTATATCCTGTTCTTGTATGAATTTATTGGCATTTTTTATTTTGAGTTCTACTTGTAATAATAATATTATCAAAAATGTCGTCGAAGTTAAGATATAGTAGTAGTTCAGCCATGGAGGAACTATATAACAAAGTGTTTCAATTCTATTTTGTATATGTACATTTAATTGTTGATACACGATAATAAAAAAAAACAAAAAAATAAAATTGAAAATAGAATAACTTATAAGTACTTTTGCAATATTTGGGTTATATTCCATAGAAAATTCCCCAAAATGTTTATATAATCTTTTCCACGAATTGCGTTTTGAATACGTGATCATCATCAATACAGACGCGAAACAACTAATTACTTTTTGGATTTGTTCCAACAAATTACTTTCCTTGTTGTAATCTTTTTGAAGAGTGAGAGGTATGGGATATCCACTGATAAACAAGGCTATTGAAATTAATGAGCTGAAAACAGGTTTTCCATAATACAGAAATTCCAATTTTAGGTCGCTTCTTCTAGGAGCAATCAACATTCTGGCACTATGCCCGATAAATATGTTATAAAATGTCTTGTATGACATTTTTCAGTGTTTGTCTTTCTTTTGGATATTCAAAGTAAACAATAAAATGAATACCTAGTAATTTTTGAGCTTATTTGTTCTGACACAAATATCCTTCCAATTTGGATGAGTGCTCACAAGTTATATAATTTCTGGCGATATAATTATTTACCGTCCAGGTAATCTATATGGCTATTGAATCAATCAATTATAGTGCGAGAGCTGACCGCAATAAAAGAAGTCGGTAACTTAAAAGGCTAAACTTTATAGGAATAGATTCGCCATGTAGGGCTTCAATAATCCGCCGGGTGACAACACCCCACCCCCTGCGTTCACTGTCTCAAGAAATTATTAAAAAGTTAATTTTTTTTGTTTTAGGTGCCCTCTACTTAAAAGAAAAATTCCGGTTCAGATCGATTATTTATGAAAAAATATGACATATCATACCCGTCAGCCGGTTCGCGTTCCCTGCAAAAAGGTTGTCACCCCGGGTCGAAAATGAGTTGAAAGTCCCCAATGGCGCCTTTAACTTAAAAGTTTGAGACTTACATCATTAAAAAGTGCGTGAAATTCCCAGTAAGAAAATACCCGGCTGACGCCTCAAAATTAGTGATGCCGCGAGACGAGACTAAAATGACACTCTCGTCTCGTTTCTCCCTAATCTCGTCTCGACTTCGAGACGAGACGAGACGAGACTGAAAGTAGCGAGACGAGACGAGATTCTCGACTAATCTTGTCTCGTCCTTCACATAATCGTTCTAGTTTCTTTTTCAATAATGTTTCAAAGAAGCTACCTACAGGAAATCTTTTATTCGATAGTAATATAACGAAAGCAATGGAAATTATCGAAAATTTTTGGCAAATTTTCCCGAATGCATTTTCAGTTGAAAAAGAGCACGAGTGCCTTTTTCAGTTGAAAATGCATGAGTGTAAATTTGTCAAAAATTATGGATATATTACCATTGCTCGAGTTGTATTTTATGAGAGAATTCCATGAATCAAAAATTTGAATTTTTCGTATATAGTCCGGGGGCCGAGGACCTTTTTTCCAAATCATTAATAACAAGCTAGTTTTTTCAATGCAGCTTCAATTCACCGAGACGCCTAACTTTTTTCTCTTCGAAAATTGCGAAAACAGGTAGCTAACATACTGCGCAGGTGTAAAACATGTCGATTTGGTGACTATGAAAATTTAATTAATAACAGTTAGTTTTTCAGCTAAATGTTGAGATAATTTTATGAATAATTTGAAACAACATTTGTCCGACAAAATAAAGAATTTGGTCTACGATGTCCCCCCCCCCCTCAAACATGTAGCAATTACGTTGCATAAAAAATGATTAATAACAAGTTGATTTTTTCAATGTAGGTTGGTAAATATTATTACAATTAAATGGTCACACTGTCCTACAAATAAACAGGTAGCTATTTTCGGTCCTACACTCAAAAGTTGTCGATTTCACGATTTAACTTTTTTCATTAATAACCGGCTAAATCTTCGTGAGTATCTTCATTTTGATAAGACGCCCAAATTTTCTGTTGCGAAAATTCCAAAAACAGGTAGCTAACAGAGTGCGCAGGTGGAAAACATGTCTATTTAGTGATCATACAAATGTAAATAATAACAGTTAATTTTGTAGCTGAATGTTGAGATAGTTTCATAAATAATATGAAACAACATTTGTCCGACAAAATAAATGGTTTGATCTAGGCTGTCTTCCTTCTCAAACATGTAGCAGATACGTTACATAAAAAATGATTTATAACCAGTTGATTTTTTGAATGTAGCTTAGTAAATATTACTACAATTAAATGGTTACACTGTCCTACAAATAAAGAGATACCTACATTTCTCCAGTCCTACACTCAAAAGTTGTCGACTTCACGGTAATACTTTATTCATCAATCACCGGACACCGGCTTAATCTTCTCGAGCATCTTCGTATTGATAATACGCCTAACTTTCCTATTGCGAAAAGTTGCAAAAGTAGTAGCTACTAGAGTGAGCACTAGTGAGCACATATAAAATACCTTGATTAGGTGATTTTGCAAATGTAATTATTAACAGTTAAGAGGCCAACAACAAATTCAAGCGCGCGAAATTCATTCTTTGTCGCCGAGTTCAAAGTAGGACCGTGATAGACGACGTTACGGCAAATATTTCCGAGATAACGGAAGGGTGTGATCAAATTGCATGGAAGGTGAATAATAAATCCTATGGGCTTTTGTGGAGGCAAAACTAATACACCTATCATATTTAATATAAATTAAAAAGTATACAGTTATAATAATAGTTTTATAATTTACATTGTGCTTTTTATTCAACAAATAAGAATGTGGAGAATGAAATGTGCGGAAACACAAAAATATATTACGAAGATAATAAAATTTACCTATACAAATACAGCAAAATAGATACTTGAAATGTTTACACCAAAAAAAAGTGAGGTGGCGTAGTTACGAGGGTGGGAGAGATGATGTTTATTCGTTTATTACATAAAGAACTTCCAGAAAACCTAGAAAAATAATAAACATTGATGAGATTGCTCATGAAAACCTCGGACACATCGATTTTTGATTTCAGTTGCCGTTTTTCTGATGGTAATGGCATGTATACAGGGTGACCCAGAAACAAGTTGTGACCGCTAACTTTATTTTTTTAAATCAAAACATTAATTTTGAAGTGAAAACTTCTTTAGAATCGTTGGGAGTGATGTGAGACTCGATGAAACGAAAAAGCGACATGACACTTTTTTAACACGCTTATATTAACACACAACAAGAACCTGGAACAAGCCAAGTGAGCTGGAACAAGTCTGGAAAATGTCTGGATAAATCTGGATGAAGTCTGGAAAAGTCTGGAAATCTCTGGAAACGTCTGGAAAGAGCCTGGAAATTTCTGGAAAGGGTCGGAAAAATTCTGCCAAAGGTCCCAAAAGACCTGGGGATCATTCTCCAGAATCCGGATCAGTATGTACAAGTCTGGATACGGTCTGGATAAATCTGGATTAAGTCTGTAAAACTCTGGATAAGTCTGGATATTGTCTGGAAAAGTCTGGAAACGTCTGGAAAAGACTTGGAAATTTCTGGAAAGGGTTGGAAAAATTCTGAAAAAGGTCCCAAAAGACCTGAGGATCATTTACCAGAATCCGTATCAGTCTGAACAAGTCTGAATAAAGTCCGGATTAATCTGGATGAAGTTTGGAAAACTCTGGAAAGCTCTGGATAAGTCTGGATAATGTCTGGAATTCTCTGGAAACGTCTGGAAAGAGCCCGGAAATTTCTGGAAAGGGTCAGAAAAATTCTGCCAAAGGTCCCAAAAGACCTGGGGATCATTTTCCAGAATCTGGATCAGTCTGTACAAGTCTGGATAAGGTCTGGATAAATCTGGATTAAGTCTGTAAAACTCTGGATAAGTCTGGATATTGTCTGGAAAAGTTTGGAAACATCTGGAAAAGACTTGGAAATTTCTGGAAAGGGTTGGAAAAATTCTGAAAAAGGTCCCAAAAGACCTGGGGATCATTTTCCAGAATCCGGATCAGTCTG